GTGAGTAAAACATGTTTAGGGCAACTGTGAAATTCAGGTGGTGGAGAGACTACAGAGCAGACCTTCAAGTCTCGACCAAAATCCCTGACTTTCTTTTCACAGCTTTCACCAACACAATGGAAAGAAAATGTTTAACCAAAGCACTGTGGCCGAGTTCATTCTCCTGGGATTCTCTGATACTCAAGAACTGCAGATATCCCACTTTTTGTTATTTCTGGGGATTTACCAGGCTGCCACGATGGGAGACTTTCTTATTATTGTGGTTATAGTTGCCAGTAATCACCTTCACACTCCCATGTACTTTTTCTTGCTGAATTTGTCCATCTTAGACCTTTCAACCATCTCTGTCACCCTCCCAAAGTCCATGGCAAATTTTCTATGGAATACCACATCCATCTCCTATTCTGGCTGTGTCTCCCAAGTCTTTTTCTTCCATGTTTTTGGTGTTGCTGAACTTGCTTTACTGACTGTAATGGTATATGATGGTTATATTGCCATCTGCAGACCTCTTTACTACAAGACCATCATGAAGGGGAGCACTCGCATCCTCCTGGCAGCCAGTGCATGACTCAGCTGTGTCCCTTACTCTGCTCTCCACACTGGGAACATCTTTTCTTTAACCTTCTGCAAGTCCAACGTTATCGAACAGTTCTTTTGTGAAGTTCCACAGCTTCTCAAGCTCTCCTGTTCTCATTCGTATTTTAGTGAACTTGAGGTTCTTACATTTAGTTTTCTTTAGTTGTCCTCTGGTTTGTTTTTATGTCTTATAATCAGATTTTCACTGTGGTTTTGAGAATTCCTGTCAAGGAAAAGCACCATAAAGCATTTTCAGTCTGCATCCCCCATCTCATTGTGGTCTCTATGTTTGCTAGCACCTGGTTCTTTCACCTCTCCTAAGACTGTCTCTAACTCCCCATCAGCTCTGGATCTCACAGTTTCTCTTTTCTATTCTGTGTTGCCACCAGTCATAAATCCAGTCATCTACACCATGGGGAACAATGACGCCAAAGCTGCTATGCAAAAATTACCTGGCTGCAGATTATTATACAGAAATAAATAGGGTTTTTATTAGGAAATGAGCACTTCATGAGCAGAGACTCTAGAGGGTAAGTCCTCTGAGGAGCACCTGAGGGAGCTGCAGTTGTCTAGCCTGGAGAAAAGCAGGCTCAAAGGAGACCTTATCCCTCTATACAAACACATGAGGTTGTAGCAAGGTAGGGGTCTGTCTATTCTCCCAGGCAACAAGAAAAAAAATGTGAGGAAATAGCTTTAAGTTGCACCAGAGGAGGTTCAAGTTGGACATTAGTAGGAATTTCTTCGTGGAAAGGATGGTCAGGCATTGCAAGGGGCTCCCCAGGGAAGAGGTAGAGTCACCATCCCTAGAGGGGTTCAAGAAATGAATGGATGTGGCACTTAGTGCCATGGTCTACTTGACAAGGCAGCTAGATTTGTCAAAGGTTGGACTCGATGATCTCAGAGGTCTTTTCCAAACAAAATGATTCCATGATTCTGTGATTAATATTCCAGTAACAAACAGTTTGTATCACTGGAATAAGAGGAAAATATTGACCTATTTTCGAGGAAGATTTTGTAAAGATTTCATTGTACAGGCAATTTTGGCCCACTGATGGCAGCAGCTTTCACAGAATATGTGGAATGGAATGGCACAAATCCAGGGTAATGCTCACAAGCCCTTTTTGCCTGCCTGTCTTCTTCTTTATCTCACCTTCCCTCTGCTTTATATATGCTTAGAGAATATAATTTATAATTGGGCTCTGTTATAAAAGGGACACATCTAAATGTGTGTGTGTGTGTGAGAATCATGGAATGACAGGATCCCAGGATGGGTCAGGCTGGAAGGGACCACACTGGGTCATCTGGTCCCACCTCCCTGCTCAAGCAGGGTCATCCCAGAGAACCTGGCACAGGATTGTGTCCAGATAGTTCTGAAATATCTCTGGGGAGGGAGACTCCATAACCTCTCTGGGAAATTTGTTCCAGTGTTCAGTCACCTGCACAGTAAAGAAGTTACTCATATTCAGGTGGAACTTCCTGGGCATGAGTTTCCGCCCATTGCCTTTTGTCCTATTTCTCAGCATCCCAAGCAGAGCCTGGTCCCTCCTCCCTTCACACACTGACAGATATATTTGTTGAGGTCCCCTCTCAGTCATCTCTCTCGAGGCTGAGCAGGCCCAGCTCCCTCAGCCTGCCCTCACAACCAAGATGCTGTAGTCCCTTGACCATCTCTGCAGTCTCCAGGACCCGCTCCAGGAGCACCACGTCTCTCTTGTGCTCAGGAGCCCAGAACTGGAAACAACACTCCAGTTGTGCTTCACCAGGGCTCAGTAGAGGGACAGGTCACCTCCCTGACCTGCTGGCAATGCTCTTCCTAAGGCACCCAGGACCTCATTGGTCTCCTTGGCCCCCAGGGCACTTGGCTGGTTCACAGGCAGCCCCCAAGTCATTCCCCAAAATGCTGCTTTGCAACAGGTCACCTTCAGCCTGTGCTGGTGCCTGGGATTGTTCCCTCTCAGGTGCAGGACCCTGCATTTGCCCTTGATGAATCTCAGAAGGTTCCTCTCTGCCCATCTCTCCAGCCTGTTGAGATCCCTCTGAAGGGCTGCACAGACCTCCGGGGTATTGGCCACTCCTCCCAGTTTTGTATCATCAGTAAACTTGCTGAGGAGG